ACACACACACACACACGCACGCACACAAGCAGACACAAAGATTAGGGCATAATATGTACAACTTCAATGTATTATTAGTTTAAATTAAAGGCTGTAGAGCAAAGGCACGTCCTTGGTCCAGCTCCTCTATTTATTCGTATACAAAACCTGAACTGACCTTGACTGCTGCTGTTGTTGATAACCTGAGGAGACACATGGCTGATCGTGACTCATTATAACCTGTCTTATTGAATTGGATCACCCCCGAGGATACCGGAACTAAAGATTTATTTTGAATCGATCCCCCCCCCCCCCCCCAAGACCACTATTATAGGCTATTTATAGTTCTTCTCCGCCGTTGTATCAAAGATTCTGTTGTATACGGTCTTTGGTTGTATGATTTATACTGGAGCACTTGGTTTTGAAAACAGCAGTGTCAACGCGTTAACTTGCCTGTTGTTTTCTTGGAACAGACTTTATAATCATTTTATGTTGTGCAGACAAAGATCTCTGTCCAGTTCAACCCGTTCACCCCCCCCCCCCGGTCTGTTGTGCAATTCTCCTACTAAAGAGCCAAAGACAGTTTTTGTGGGTGGTTTGCGGGTGCTCTGGTGTGGTTTGCTCCTTCTTTCCTATCAAACATAATATCGTCCTTAATCTCTCCTCCTGTTTTGTGTTTGTTACTCCCGTGTAACTGTTTTAATCTTCGCCACTTAATGTGTTGCAAGTACCGTAAACCTCTTACGAAAAAAGGACTATTTTGGGGGCAAGATAATTATTAATGATAGTGATAAGTTGAATCGACAACGGGAATGGCAGAAAAGGGGGAGGGGGGGGGGTGTCAGAAGCGAGAATTTAATTACGCAGCCTACTACACAGCTTGAACCTGAATTCTCTCGTTGTTTCCAATATTACCGTCATACTTAATGCTTTCCCTGACTGGTGTTGATACTGATACAGTTCTTGCTTTAAGCTTGGGTTTGTGGCTAGACGGTCAGAGATATAAGAACGTATAGGTTTGTGGACTCCGCAGCCCCCACCCCCCTTTTAACCACACCCATGCGCAGTCTCTGCCTCTTGTTTTTCTTTCTGTCTTTGCCCACCCCTCTCTCTCTCTCTCTCTCTCTCTCT